ATTTCATCCCCTAAATAATAACCGATCTTTTCGAAAATAGGGGTCTTCATTGGCCAGAACCCATTCTACATGCAAAATTTCGTGATGATTGGTCCATAACTGTGGCCTATATCGTGTTTAATTTTGGTTTTTCCTAATTTAAGCCCAGTGTTGGGTGCCGTAGGGACAACAAACTGTATAACTGGGTGCTCTGGAATAGATTCCCGACATACCCTTCATATAGACATATTGAATTGGTGGCCTCAAAATTCTCTGATGTTTTTTTCGGTTTTTGTTATACCCTCCACCATAGTATGGAGTGTAAATTAATTTTGTCATTCGAAATATTCATTTCCGACCCTATAAAGTATATATATTCTTGACCAGCGTAAAATTATATGACGATATAGCCATGTCCGTCTGTCTTTCCGTCTGTCCGTCCGTCTGTTGTAATCACGCTATCTTCTGAAGGAATTGAGATAGGGTGCTGAAATTTTGCATAGGGTTGTCTTTTTTCTGCCGGCAGGCCAAGTTCGAAGATGGGATATATCAGTCCACGTTTAGGCATAGCTCCCATATAAGGGTACCCCCCAATTTTCGGTATTTTGAGGTTCTCGAGCGCGTTCTTCAACCGAATTCACTGAAATTTAGTACATTGGGTTCTTATTGGGTACTTAATGTCTCCACAAAACATTATAAATATAGGTCCACTTTTTCTGGTAGCCCCCATATAACGGTACCCCCTTTTGGGGGTTTTGTTCGTATTTTTTCACCGAATTGGCTATAATCTAGTATTTTGAGTTCTTAATTGTTTCCAAATCTCTCCACAAAAAATTATGAATATAGGTCCATTTTTTCGGGTAGCCCCCATATAAGGATATCCCCAATTTTCAGTATTTTGGGATTCTTGAGCGAGTTTTTCAACCGAATTCGCTGCAATTGGGTATTTTATAGTCGTGTATGGTAACAAATCTCCCTACCAAAAATTCGCCCACTTTTTGGTGTAGTCCCCATACAACCCCCTTTTTATATTTATCTGATTTGTTCCGCGTTTTGGGTTTGGTTCTAAGACACTGATATAATCATTTCACTTGCGGAGGATATCGAGATAAAAAAACTAGAACGTAAGGTTCGATAATGAACTATAGCCCGGATTTAGGCCTAGGCCTATCCCCTGTGTTCGATTTACCAGGAGGAGTGGAACGTTATACCCCATCTTCGAACTTGAACTAAGTTTGGAAGAAATAATAAGATAGGCAAAGTTTGGATGAAATCACAATTTTCTGAAACTGAGTTGGTCCAAAAAAATATGGGGTCTAGAACCAATATTTCGATGAGGCACATTTTCACTGTATCAAAGTGAAAGGTCTATGGAGGAGGGTATCCAAAGTTCGGCCCGGCCGAACTTAACGCTTTTTCACTTGTTTTGTTTTTTTGATTGACTCTTGATTCCGGGAGTGGTTGGTGGTGGAATTGGCGGAGAAGGAGAACCTGGTGGATGCGGATGATTTAGTTGCAGAGGAAGTGTTAATTTTACGAAAATTCGTACCCCATACCTTCCTCAGTGGTGTACTGGAACTAGAAAGGGGACGTGTTGTTACACCCGATACTGTGAAGAAATGCTGCAGTATAGATTTCACCTACGACGTAATTTTGAGTTGGAAGGTTCGCTATAGATTCAAAACCCAAACTTTCATCCAATTTAGTTGAAAAATATTAGTTGAAGAATAATAATGGGTGATTACGTTATATAGGGGCTATACCAAAACGTGGACCGATATACCCATTTGCAATACATATACGCATTTGCAATATAAAACAAAAGGACACATCTAGTATACAATCAATCTTATGGGAGAGGTTATATACAATCTACCATAAGGTGAACAATGTCACCAAATTATTGATCTGCCTACGTGCCATACAACTTTTTCGGATAATTGTTGTCTATTCAATGGCTCATCCTTGTTCATGCAAACCAAAACAGTAACCAGTAAGGAAAGTAGTAAAGACGGACTGGGCCGACTATATGATACCCTTCACCACTTTGGGTGTATTTTACATATGTATCCTAACAGACGACGCGTTTTGTTATAAATCTATATCTGAACCGATTTCAGGGAAACTTGCCAGAGACTAATTTATATAACATCAGTACGTTGTGTCAATCAATCTAGCTATGGATCCTTTCACGAAGCTTAGCAACATCATTCTAGAATTAATTCAGTACCCTATACCAAAATTCGTGCAAAACGAAAGATATATAAGGTCTTTGGTGCACCAATGACCTTAAATCGGATGAAATTACATATGGGAGCTATATCTAAATCTTAATCGATTTTAACGAAATTTGGCAGATATCATTCTCGATCTTATTCATAACTCTGTGCCAAATTTCGTGCACATCAAACGATTTCCAGGGACTTTAGTGGACTATTTACCTAAAATCGGACGAAGCTATACATGGGAGCTATATCTAAATCTGAACCGATTTTCACGAAACTTGGCAAACATCATTCTAGACCTTATTCATTACGCTGTGCCAAATTCCGTGCAAGTCAAAATATTTCCAAGGACTTATATTACTATATCTAAATGTGAACCGATTTTCTCAAAACTTTTCACACATCATTCTAGACTTAATTCAGTACACTATGCCAAAATTCGTGCAAATCAAAAGATTTCCAGGTACATTAGTGGACTATTTACCTAATATATATATCTAAATCTGAACCATTTTTACTGAAACTTTGCACACATTATTCTATACCTTACTTATTACACTGTGCCAAATTTCGTGCAAATCGAAAGCTATATAGGGACTTTGGTGCACCATTTACCTTAAATTGGACGAAAATATATATGGGAGCTATATCTAAATCTGAACCGATTTTCCCAATTTCAATAGGGTTTGTCCTTGGGCCAAACAAATGAGCTGTGCTAAATTTCATCCAATTCGGATCATAAATGCGATCTGTACTTTGTTTACAATTTAACATGGACAGGCAGACAGACGGACGGACATGCATAAATCGACTTAGAAAGTGATTCTATGCATATTCTCAAAAGGAACCATGGCTCTATCTCGATTATTTTTGCCTGTTACAAACATATGCGCAAAGACATAATACCCTGTACCACAGTGTGGTGAAGGGTATAAAATGAAAATACATAGTTCCTTTAAACCACAACGAATAACGGGATTTCCATCATTTTCGTCGATAATATAGGCAACAAGTGTTATTTTCACCAGCAAACTGTTGCCGTTTCCCTTTGGTTAAGATGATTGATGTTAGCTTTTATGTCAACTGCCAACGTTACTCTCCTACCTCTCTCTCTCTCTATCGCTCTGAAATACATTACATAGTAATGTAATGTAATTCTGTTATTAACATTTTGTGAATAAAAAATCAGTATTTATTTAAAATTTTAGATTTCAAAATTTATTTTATTTTGTTTGTTTGTTTTTCTTTTTGGTTTAGTTTTCTTAAAGAAAATAGTAGTTTACAATTATTTATTTATTTATAATTACTTAAATTACTTAAAGGAAATTTATAAATTTTTTATTAGAAATTAGAATAATGATATATTTGTTTTACCTAATAAAATTACTTTTAAAAAATAGTTTCATTTTTTTTGCTAATTTAGAAAAAAAAGAAATATATTTTAAATTTCAGCTAGTTTTGTTTTTTGGGGAAAGGAATTTGGACAATTTTTTTTTTAATTTTTATATTTTTGTTAGATTTTTTATTTGTTTCTCAGTAAATCGTTTTCATATTAATAATTATTTATAATAAATTCGTAAATATGTTTCTTTAGTTTGCTTTGAAGTATTTGGGTGTGCTTAGCAAGAAAATTAAGACATGTTTTTATTTTATTTACAATTGTGGGATTTGGATTTTTAGAAAGGGGTATACAAGACATTGGATATGCTTACAATAATTTTGGGGGCTTAACGGCTTTTTAAAGGGAGAACAAATTTTTAAGTGGCCATTCTATTTGTTTTCTAATAATAAATAAATGAAATTAAATTATTTAAAGATAATGACACTTGAATTTTTTCTCGTAAGAAAATATTGTTATATGGAAAAAAATCGAAATATATATATTTTTTAAATCTGTACATAAAGCTTTCTCTGTGGGGAATTATTTGTTGGAAAATTGTTTTTAAATTAAAATTTGAACGAAAATTGAAAAAAATGGATTGAAATAGTTTTTTTTTTCAAAAAGTTCAATATGTTTCATCTCGTTGTAATGTGCCAGTGGTTTGATACACCCAATTTATTGGTATAGAATCTCATATAAAAACCGCTCGAAATATATTGAAATGTTTTTTAAATAGTTTTGAGAATATATCTGCCGTTTTTTGTGGGAAAAATAAACATTTTGAAATAATAAACTCAAATTTTTTTTTATTTTTTTTTATTGACTTTTAACGATATCTCCTCCATTATTGTTTTCATCATTATCATCTTCAGTATTTCATTTCAAAAATTTGAACTATATAGTGCCTTGATTTTATTCTTTTGCTATTCTATTCTTATTCCGATTTTTGTTTGCTTTAGTCTAAGGATATTTAAATTTAAACATGCGTCGATTTTTTTTCTTTGGGTGAAAACTTGGTTTTCATTGATCTCAAATTACCTTGTCCTGTTTGCTAATTATTATTATTTGTTTCTTAGGGAATTGTTGTTTTTATTATTTTGAAAATAATTATTTTTGTGTGTGTGTGTAGATATTCCCTAAAAATATTCAACTTGTCCTATACCATACTTCGTGTGTGTATGTGTCCTTATCTAAAAATGTGATTATTTCTAGTTTGGAATTTATTTTTTGTTTTGTTGATAATTTTCAAACGAGGCACTGCATCACGTTATGGCGTTGTTTGTAACAACTTAACTCTACTTAGTCAGGGTGATATATAAGTTTTAAGTTTTGTAGAAATTATTAGAATATAGGGTGCAATAAATTGAAATTAAAAAAGAAAATTTTTCAAAAAAACAATTTTTTGTTTTCTTAATTTAAGCCCATTGTTGGGTGCCATAGGGACAACAGACTGTATAACTGGGTACTCTGGAATAGAGACCTGACATACCCTTCATATAGACATATTGAATTGGTGGCCTCAAAATACTCTGCTGTTTCTTTTCGGGTTTTTTGTTGTTCGATGCTTGATTCCGTGAGGAATTCGACGAAGAGGAGGAGGAACTGGAGGAGGCCGATGATTTAGTTGCAGAGGAATTATTTGCTTGAGTTTTACGACATTTCGTATCCCACACTCTTCTCAGCGGTGTACTGGAACAGGACAGGGAGCGTGTTGTTACACCCGATACTGTGGAGAAATGTTGCAACATAGATTTCACGGACGATGTAATGGACAAACGACTTAGATGCAATCCCTTGGAGGATGATGTTGTCAGCGAACATGATGGTGTATTTGACACAGAGGCTGGTGAGGATTTTGATTTTTGTGTAATTTTACCATTGACGTTGAGGCAATTTTTATTATTTGCCAAATCTTGCTGATTTTCTGCCTCCTCTTCGTTGTTTTCATCGCTACTGGAATTGCCACTGTCCGCCTCACTATAATCCGCAATATCATCGTGACAATCCACTGAACTGCTGGCCCTATAAATTGTCGTGGCGATATAAATGTGTGGCTGGTTTTCGCTGCAATTTTCCATATCTAATTCCTGATCGCCGGATAGCCGGGAACAGCCCGAGGCCGATGATGTGCGGGAATTCATTTCTTCGCTGCTCAAATCCAAACTGGAGGTACCGGCATTGCCATTATTTAAACTATCCAAACGGGAGTTGCGTTCATAGCTCAGGGAAAAGGAATCCGTCGAGGAGCTACGCAAATCCTCTTGGCTGTTGTAGACAATGGTGTGGCCATTGTGACTTAAAGTATGATGGTGATGATGTTGGTGGTGATGGCTGAAGTGACGTCCCAAATGTTTACCCAAACAGAGTAAAAATGATTTGGAACGTAGCCCCGTGGGTTTTTGGGAAGTTTTAATATCCGTTGTTGAGGATGCTGCCGAACAGCCAGAACTACTGGAGTTGCTGACCTTGGCGTTGTTGTGTGGTGATAATGTATCCATTTTGAGATATTTATAATCCAGTATAGCTGTTGTTGTTCTTGGTTACACAAAATCGCACAATTTATTAGTTCTTCTCAAAAGTAAATGTTTATTTTTGAATATTTTCAAAAATTATGGATTTTTTCGATATTTTATTCCTTTAGAAATTTCATATATTTTCCCGAAATTGTATATATTTTTCAATTTTTCTGTTTTATTTGGGATTAATTCTTTAATGTTTTATTTCCTTGGAAATTTCATTTATTTTCACACAAATGTTTTTCTTGAGTGTAATCTTTTCTTTTAGTATGAACTTTTTTCTTTGGCTGTATGTCTCTTTGTAAATGTTTCTTTTTAAATTTCTTTTTGTAGATTATATCCGTTTGTTTGTTTTCGATAACCGTTTGCTATGCAGTTTTGAATAAAACTAACATTTCACTGTTATCCCCATATCCTTTTATAGTCTTCGGCGCCATGGTCGTTTGGTCGTGTTAACCCTCGTTACTTGGTTAAAGCTTTCTTTTGAGGGCATATTTACTCATGACGCAGACGTGTTTTGTGAAAGCTTTCGTATATTCTCCGGACACTCTCTCAATCTCTCTCTCTCCTGCGGTGAGTCCTTTAAACCCAGTCGGTGTCATTGTGTGCATTCAGTGAATGTAGTGTGTCCTTAAAGGCAACAACGTGATTTTTGGCATTCAAAGGGTATTGTTTGTTATTGTTTTTAGTTTTTGTTGTCCTTAGAATTGCAAACTGACGACTTTGTTGAACTATTTTAACATTTCACACCTCTTACGGCTTAACGCCGTCCCCTTCCCCGTTCAAGGATAATACGGCAAAGAGCCAACAAACCATTGACACATAACATGTGTTTTTTGCTGGGCAACGACGTCGTGCCTGTGTTCCGGCAAACACCTGTTGGCGGCAATTTGCCCATGTTGTCGTCACCATTTCGGTTGTGGTTGTGTCGGGTTGGTTCTATCGGTTGGTTAGTGGCTGTGTTGTATTTCCGCATCCGTATAGTTAATTAACACGTTTAATTTTACACTTCCGTTTTACCTTTGCCGCCTTGGCCCGTGGTTATTTTTAAATAAAAAATGAGAATGAACAGGGAGAACAAGAAAACCGAACAGAGTAGTAAGTCACCGATTGTTGATGTTTTATATTTCAACGTGACTTATTAAATTAATGTACGGAATATATTCACGACGACATTACCATCGCAATTAGCATTGGTACATTGGTGTGTGTGTGTGCGTGTTTCTCTTATTTCTTTTTTCTTCTGAAATGAGGTATGGAAAATGTGACCATTACTTCGTAGAACATCTAAGTAGGCCGTCGCCTTGCATGGATTCTCAGGAGGTGTCAACAATCGTGGCATAGAAAAAGTTGTATACATGGTGAGATTTGGTGCCCCTCCCTATTTTATAGAATCACTGCATAACCCTTTCGTGATGATGGTGGTGGTGATGATGATGAAACATTAACATATCACGAGTTGTTGCAATATCCATTCGACCCCAAACGGTGAAAGTCACATTGTTAGACGTGTCATAAGCTTGCATTCAATTGCCAGCCAGCCACGTTTACACATTGCAGAATGGTATCTGAATAGTGGAAGCCATAATGCTAATCACGGGTACTGAACATCTTCGAAGGAATGTGCATTCGAGTTAATGCGTGTTTAATGTTGAGTTTTTTTGTGTTTTTGGGTTATTGTGGCGGAATGTGTGGCAGTTGCAACTAGTTAGAAAGTAGCAAGTGCAGGTTGTCAATAATAATATATGTGGTATATGTAGGTTATCCTGACATTTGTATGGTATTAAGGGAATTTTCTTCAAAGTCTGCATAGGTGGAGTGCATGGGCTCTAGTGGAGCAATTTTCGTGTCCTGTCTTGTTCATTAGAATGGAATAGATTGGTCCATGTTTTGTCAGTATATTAAACATTTTAGCCGAATTTTCCAACGGAAATACCTGTAGTTAAGAATACCGTTTTTTATACCCTCCATCATAGTATGGAGGGTATATTAGTTTTGTTTTTCCGTTTGTAACGCATCGAAATAATCATTTCCGATCCTATAAAGTAAATATATTCCTCATCTCATCCTCAAAATTCTATGACGATCTGTCTGTCTGTTGTAATCACTCTAGCGTCTAAACGAATGGAGATAGAACGCTAAAATTTTGCATAGAGTCGTCTTTTGTCTGCAGGCAGGTCAAGTTCGAAGATGGGCTATATCGGTCCACGTTTAGGCATAGCTCCCATATAAAAATTAGAAATATAGGTCCACTTTTTCTGGTAGCCATCATATAAGAGTACCTCCCAATTTTCAGTTTTTAGGAGGGTTTTTACCGGAATTTTCACCGAATTGGCTGTAATGTAGTAATTTCAGTTCTTCCACAAAAAATTAGCGCGGTTTTCAATTTTGGGGTTCCGCGCTTTTCAAATCGCTGAAATTTGGTACATTAAGTTCTTATTGGGCACCAAATTTCCCCACTAAAAATTATAAATATAGGTCCACTTTTTCTTGGAGCCCCATATAAGGGTACCTCCCAATTTCCAGGTTTTTGGGCGGGGTTTGACCGGATTTTTTCACTGAATTGGCTGTAATTTAGTAATTTGAGTTCCTAGGGTTTTCTGCACAAAAAATTATAAATATAGGTCAATTTTTTCAGACCCCATATAAGGGTACCCCCAATTGGCTTTAAATGAATTTGGTATTTTGTATCGTTGTTACTTCTTATTAATATTCATCCCTTTTTAGGGTAGCCCCATATAACCCCCTTTTTATACCCTTCACCACTCTGTGGTACAGGGTATTATGTCTTTGTACAATGTTTGTAACAGGCAAAAATAATCGAGATAGACATATAAGCATAGTCAAATTTCTGAGTCGTTTTATTTTTTCCGTCTGTCTGTCGATGTAAAATTGTAAACAAAGTTAAGGTCGCATTTATAATCCGAATTGGATAAAATTTGGCACAGGTCACTTATTTGGCCCAAGGACGAACCCTATTGAAATTGGGAAAAATTGGTTCAGATTTAGATATAGCTCCCATATACATTGTCGAAGTTTGCACGAAATTTGGTACAGCGTAATAAATTAGGTCAAGAATGATGTGTGTGAAGTTTCGTGAAAATCGGTTTTGGATATAGCTCCCATATATATTTTCCGAATAAATGGTGTACCAAAGTCCCTGAAATTTGGAAAATCGGTTAAGATTTTGATATAGCTCCCATATATATTTTCGTCCGATTTTAGGTAAATAGTACACCAAAGTCCCTTTTATATCCTTCGAGTCTACAATGATGTGTGGTGAGTTTTGGGAAAATCGGTTTAGATTTAGATATACCTCTCACATATAGATTATATTTTTAACAACGTGGCGTAGTGAATAGCGTGTATCAGTTTTGCTATCAATAGTTTTCCATAAATTTTCCCCGTATTATGCAGACGGAAGAGGGAACATATGCATGATATTGTTAGGATACATATGTACAATATACCCAAAGTGGTGAAGGGTAACCCCCTTTTTTATGGTTTATATTAAAATAGTTATCTGATTTGTTCCGTGTGTTCGAATTGGGTAGTCGTTACGTGGAATAGCCAATTTCTACTCTACAAAGACGTTTTAGGCATCTGTTGTAAGCATTCCGCCTTCTAAAGATATTGTGATAAAAAACTTAAACATGACAATAATGAAATATATCGGCAGACATTTAGGCATCTGCTCGATAGTGATACCTCTTGAAGCAAAGAATTGAGATAAAAAATTAATATATTGGGTTCAAAATTGGACCGGTCATTAATTAGGCATAATTCACTACTTCCTACACTATGTAATTAATATTGCTCCCCCTTTAGACATAGCCTCATATAACTTTTTGGTATGTTCCCTATATATTCATTGCATGTATCTCTCAGTATAACTATGGTGGAGGGTATCCAAAGTTGTGTTGATTGTTTAAGTGGCCTTTCCCTTCCAGAATAACAGTAATGTGGCAATCCGAGTATTCGGAAGAAATTTTTTTGGATATAGATATCGGCCCATTTTCGGTATTTAAAGGGTCTTCGTCGATATGCTTCCATCGAAGTGGCTATAATTTGGCATTCTGCATTCTGATGATATATCTGTCATATAGAGGCTCTGTAAGAGAATCGGTATTATTTAATTTTCTCATAGCACAAACAATATCCTACAAAAAAAAGAAAAAAAAAATACATATACCGCGTGCATTCATAAAAATTTTGTTTTCAATTTTCAATTTGTCATTTGTTGGAAAAACAACGATAGGGGTTTCCCAAGAGACCCTATCTCCGTATATAATGAAGGTTTAGATTGAAAATGTTAATCCTTCTTGCAGGAGTTACCTGAAATAGTGGACCGATGAACTTGGAATTCGTATGGGTTTGGTGAAAATATTACAATAACGATTCTCATTTATAGTCTCCGAAACATTTTGGTTTTTTGGAAAGTTTCAGCCATTTTTTTTACCGAAGGAGGTGGTGATTTGGAAAAGCGTCTTCATAGACGCAAATCTTGATTACAAAATTTTTTTGCTTGAGATATAATAGCTGTAATATTGATCATCTTTAATTACAAAAAATTATATATACTATTCACATTAAAAATTACATATTCTCTTTAAATATTCTCAGAACTCCTTCGTGTTTTTTTTTCAGATTAACAATTTGTTTTAATCTTATCGCAAGAATATTAAAATTAAACGAATTCGAATACAACATACATATATGATTTTCCTTAAACAACGTAACTAAAGACAGAGCATACGCGTAAGAGTCACATTTTTGAAAAAAAGTACAACACACACACACACACCACCTATCGTTTCAAAGAGTAACATGAAGCCTATTCCAAAAAAAAAGAATTATAAAACCTATGTACAAAAGAACAACAACAGTTGTGTTTTTGTTGTTATCTTCTTTTGCAATCATTATGTCAAGTGCGATAGAATCGGAATTTCTGTTGAATAATTTCAAAATAATGAGAGATGTTA